AATATCTGATATAATACTGTTGGTATAACAAAAACAGAAACAAAAGCGAAGCAAATATATCGACGCGTAATAAAATAGTGATCATTCCACTATTTTGTGGAGGTTTTTAAACACATCGGGAACGAAAAACGCTATGTTCTCTCTCATATGTGGACAATGCAAATTAAAACAGTTCATTATGAATCTATATGATCCAAATATATCCAGTAAACGCGGACAAAAGTCTGTAGGGTGGGGTGTGCGGTAAAATCGTAATGTAAGATTTGAGAGGACTAGTTTTTAAAGTTAGCTACTGTGAGATTCTACTTGTCGGCAAACTTCTTACATGAAGATTCCATTTATACTTGATAATCATGATATTTGCTGATTTGTTTTGTCTCATTGTCTCGCGCAAGTACAAATAAAAAAAAAAGGATGAAGAAGAGACGGGTTTAAGGAAGCAGCATGATTACGAAGTGTACACATAACATGAACGGTAAATTAAAAACTCAAATAGATTGAATAGTACTTCTTTCATCTCTGCTTTTTTTCATTTTCTTTTCGTCTTAGATATCACTTTTTTTAATAGAACGACATAGTGCACGTGTTACTTGTTGAACAGAACCAAAAAAAAAGAAAATGTATGCCCTCCTTATCAGAGGTTTTTTTTCTCCTTATCTTTACTTTGCTATCGAGTATCATTATATTAAAAATATCATCATTCATTTTGGATTTCTCAGACCAAGGTTGTTTCTTTACATGAGACAAAATGACTAATTTTTTCATAAGAAACCGGATTCTTGTTGAAGGACTATGATAAAAGAAATGAATGTGCTTGTTTCACAACTGCAATCAGATAGAGTTTTGTTGAATCATTTGATGATTGTCCTTAGTTGAAGTTCGCCTTTTTTGTATCAAAATAAAAAATGATAAATATCCAAGTTGTATTGATATAAGCTATTCAATAATCTTCCCTTCCAGTACAAAAAAGATTTCCTCAAAAATTATGAACTTTTTATTTCGCATATATCTCAGCATAGATAAATGACAAAAACTTGTTTTTTTTTAAAAGATGCACCATGAAAAGGGTTAGTGAGAGCGTGTCTCTGCTTCACCCACCCGTCCTCTGTATACATTGAGATCAGCGGTGATTTTATGATCATTGAATGTTATAAACATAGCTGATATTGGTCGAGCTTTTTCTTTGAAGTTGGTTCTGAACATGTTACACTGATAAGAGCGTAGATTTTTAGAGCTAAATCTACAGGTATTAAAGCTCTGCCTGTAAGAGCAATCTGACGGGATGCCATTTCCATAATAGTAGTTTTAACAAATGGTCAATTCTCATTACTTCTATCATCGACATGTCTTAATCTAAAAAACCCCAAAACAAAAACATTTATGCTATTGCTGCTGTGCACTTTCTGAAGAACATTCATGTACGCAACGAGAATAAAAACATTCTGTATCATAAGAGTCGATAGAAAATGAGTGCACACATTTTCTTGGGAGCATTTCAACTCGTCATGATTTTTGTTTTCTGGCTTTCGTAACGAATTGACAGTACGAAAGCCCGTAACAGAGCTTTCGTAACGGCAGAATCAGACCTTTCCTAACAAAATCCCATGGGTTTCGTAACGAATTTTACAGGGTGATCGTAACTAGTGGTTTGATATGTGCTATTTTAGAAAATAATGCCATTAATTACAGACCTTTCGTAAAGAATTTTTCAGAGTTATCGTAACTTCTCATTCAGGGCTTTCGTAATGCACTTAGCTTAAAAGTACGAGTGACAATACAGGGCTGTCGTAACGAAAAGTACAGAGCTAGCGTAACCGTTAGGGTGTGGGTGTGGGTGTGATTGTTTGTGTGATTGTTGGTGTCATTTTCTTTTTGTAGACATCCACACCCACACCCCACACCCACACCCACACCCCACGCACCTACACCCACACCCACACCCACCCACACCCCTGCTTCATTAAGTAAAGTAAGCAAAATAAGTTGAAAATCTTAATCTTCAACAAATCTTTTCTTCTTATTTCGAGACCAGACGATTGGTTACGGCAGCCCTGATATTTCATTATGATACCGCTGTACATCTAAGTCACATACACTCTGCTTTTCCGGTACGACAACCCTGTATGAACAGTTACGTCTTCCCTGTAAAATTCGTTACGACAGCCCTGATTTGACAGCCTACATCTCCTTCGAAATATAGCATGGGAAAGTCTATTTTAGCCGTTACGAAAGCCCTGTACAATTCGTTACGAAACCCATGTAATTTCTATTCGTAAATGACGTACGACTAACATATATTTCATTACGAAAACCCTGTTGCTTCGTTGTGAAAGCTCTGCAACCGTTACGAACTCCCTGTATTAATCGTTACGATCGCCCCGTAAATTTCGTTACGACATCCCTGCATTTTTGAATATGCCTATTTTTGGTGTTACGAAAGGTGTGATTTTTGCAATTTGTCCAACTCGTCACGTGACGAGTTGAAACGCTCTCATTTTCTTATTGTTGTGCAAGCATGAATTCTATAAGGGTGTGGGTGTGGGTGGGTGTGGGTGTGGGTGTGGGTGTGGGTGTGGGTGCGGGTGTGGGTGTTACTGTTCTCTTCACCTATACTCACACCCACACCCACCCACACCCACGCCGACACCCACACCGCACCCACACACCCACACCCACACCCACCCACCCACACCCACATCCACCCACCCACACCCACCCACACCCCACACCCACCCACACCCCACACCCACACCCACACCCACATCCGCACCCACACCCATCCACACCCACACCCACACACACACCCATACCCACACCCTCCACCGATACCTACCCGTATCCCCACACTGTGGATGTACCGAGATCGAGAGGCTCGGTCTCTGTCAGTCTCAGTTGAGAATGAACGAGGCCAAGATCCTGGATTCAGCCTGCATCTCCGTACATCCCTACTCCATGCTTTACTAACACCTGCATACTCACTGCTACAATTGCTTCAAGAGTATCTTTCCAAA